GTGTGGGGCTACTGCGTTCACGTCAGCTTGCAGGCGGCCCACTGTGGCCTCGACAGACGTGCAAAAGACAACTTGCACATTTTTCTTCTCCCAGACTGTTGGCCAAGCCGAAAAAGGCATATATAGTCCGAGTCTCACTGTCTATGGTTGCGTACAGCGGTGACCCAAGCAGAGGTCGGTTCAGTGGCAGAGTATGGTGTGCTGTCTTCTGTCGCCTGGGAGGCTCCCTGGGCGGGATAAGACTGCTGAATTACCAAGTGATTTGATGACAAACAGAAAATTATTGTAGGTTAAGAAGACGTCTTACTGCGTCCATAGTTAGTGGATGAGCAGTGGGGAAGAACTACATCGAATTGTGCAGTTTCACCAAGTGTAATTTTAATGAAGACATTTCACTACAGGGTGAATACAAAAGTGAATAAAAGTTGTTGAATTTCTCTAAAAGCTTTCTGTCTTTCTATGCTTGCACCCGTCAGAGTTCCTGATAAGAGGAGATGGACAGCTAGGTCGCTCGTCGCTCCACCCTCAACGCTTTCCGAACCTTCACAGCTAGTGAAAAATAGCATGTAGCCTACACGCACCAGTTGCGTCTGGTTGTATCCAGCTTGCACTTCTCTGCCCCCAAAGCTATACAAATCGTGTACCACACTCCTCTATTTTAAATACTCTTCAGTGTGATATGACTAGTGCTCAAGAAAGTGGTAGGAGTTACACTGCTAAGCCCACACAGCGTTGCGTCCTCTCGTATCGGGGTAATGGCATCCTCCAATAAATCAGATACACAAGCAAGCCAACAAATTGGTCAATTCTCTATCGATTGAATGTAACGAGTGGAGTAAAGGGTGACTTGCTATAAATTAATCCAGTATGTATGTCTACCGGTACAGCACTAAAGGCATGCTTGGCGGATAACGTTTATATCAGCATGCCTCATCTGATGCGCTGCGCTTCAAGACGAGTTAGGACTAATGTTTTGAGATTAGGGCTTTCAGCAGCAAGGGCCGTTTGGACCCGTGCCTGTTTGGGTTGGGGGGATTAGGACAGCAGCACATGGAGTGACTGTCAGCAGCCAATAGCGGGTTGATGTCTCATTGTATTAGACCATAACAACCCAGGAGATAGTTTCAGAATCGTAAGCTTCAAACTCTAAAAACCAAATGGGTTTTTAAGAAGCAAAGGAAAGAAAGAGCAAGCAAACCGGTAGACGTTCACCCTCAGCAGCACAAGCAGTGCCACCGTACCCAAGCGGCAAGGAACAGCAGCAGCGGCTGCTGAGGCTGTTGCTGCTTCTTCACAGCTCATGCTCTGGGTCCGATGTTTTTTTGTTAGGGCCGAGGCTGAAAATAGTTACACTTACGTGTACTGTAAACCCCAAACCCTCAATGCACGATGGCGGAGCAGGTCCCTGAATTCAAACTTATTTTGGTGGGCGATGGGGGCGTCGGCAAAACCACGCTGGTGAAGCGCCACCTAACAGGTGAGGTTTCAGGACTTGACCATAGCGGTGGACGTCTTTTATCTGACAGCCTTGCGTTTTTTCGGCTGAAATTGCTGTTCAAGAGCTTATTGTCGTAGGCGGCCGGTTTCCTCCCCGACAAATGGCGTGTGGGGCGCAAGGGGCTTTGCGGGCGTCCGTGGCTCTCAGGCCTTGAAAAGTCATAAGTGTAATTGAATAAGTGCCTCCAAAGGATCAAGCTGCACTCGGGCCTTCTTAAGCCTCGGGGCCCCCTACTATGGGGGTCCTGCGTCGCTTGCTCGCCAGCTGCAGTGTTTTTTCAGCACTGTTGAAAGCATTACACCTTGCGATTAGTTCGAGGAATCGTGCATGAGGTACAGCTGTTTAATCTAGGGCAGGGGTCTTGTGGCTTGTGCCCTGTGGTGTTTGTGTAGGTGAGTTCGAGAAGAAGTACATTCCCACCTTGGGAGTGGAGGTGCGCCCTCTGCGATTTTCGACAAACTTCGGACCCATCGTCTTCAACGTCTGGGATACTGCGGGACAGGAAAAATTCGGGGGACTTCGCGACGGATACTACATCAAGGTCGGCCTGGGCTGCGGTGTCTGTTTGGAGGCAAGAAGAACAGTGTTTGGGGTTCGCTTTGAAGGAACAGGAAGTGCTGATAGTGTATTTGAGGTGTTGTGGTCTGATAACTATGCCTGGGTACGTGTGTGACCCGTATCGTTATGAACCTTTTTGAGTGTTCACCTCGCCTGGCGTGCGGCCTGTTTTTAGGGTCAATGTGCAATAATGATGTTTGACGTGACAAGCCGCATTACTTACAGAAACATCCCAAATTGGCATAGAGATATTGTAAGGGTTTGCGAGAACATCCCCATCGTATTGGTTGGCAACAAGGTGAGCTTATGCGGTCTACCTAAGCACCTGAGGCAAATTAGTAGGGGGTTTTGCCATGGCGCAATGCTGGCGCCTTTCGAGTGTAGGCTTGAGAAGCTCTTTGGTTTGGGATTTATAATAGCACGCTGTGCCTCTTCAAACCTCTAGACAGGGTTCAACACGATTAGTCTTGCAGGAATTTTGTTAGGGTTAAGGGATGGCAATGAATAGGGATTGTAGCTTGTTTCTTACAGTGTGCTTCGAAGCATACGGCGTTGTCCCGTAGATGAGTTCGCTCTCAAGTCTGTAAATCACATACGTTAACGGGGGGCTATTGCGCTTTTTGATATATAGGGTGCGGGATAGCATGTTGCTGGCAGTGTTTTGTGGTTTGTGTATAGGTTGATGTGAAGGACCGTCAGGTGAAGGCCCGCGTGATTCAGTTCCACAGGAAAAAGAATCTGCAGTATTACGACATTAGCGCTCGCTCGAACTACAATTTCGAGAAGCCCTTTCTCTGGCTGGCGAGGCGACTCACCAATCAGGCATCCCTCACGTTCACGGGTCAGTGGCATACTGGGATTCAGGGTTATGGCTTATTGCTCGGGTATTAGGACTAGTTAACTGCGCTTAGTTCGGAATCATTGGATATACTGCTTCATTTCTCTTTCACATGTATTTATCTTGTCCGCCTTTCATCACAATACAATTTTTAATGCAAGTGCACCAGTGCTCATCGGCCTACTACCGTGTCCCCTTGCCGTCAGCTCTTTATTGTCTCTAATATTTGTGTCATATCAAGGCGCCTGGATTCTTTATCAATGCTTAACTTTTGGATCGGTTGTTTCTTTGTTTCGTGTGTGTTCACAGGTGAGCACGCCAAGGCTCCAGAGATAATGATCGACCCTTCGTTGGTACTACAGGCGGAGAAAGAACTGCAAGAAGCCGTGAACACCGCAATCGAGGATGACGATGATGACCTCTAGACAGTGTGCAATTGATTATGTAAAAGGATAAACACGCAACCCCACTAGGATCAATAGGGATAAAACAACATATAACTGAGACATGGACCTGTCGAGTATCTTGCCAACAAGCTTTGCTTTTCACACAAAATGATGTGTCGTTTACCGCTTTTCAAGTATAAGGGCTCTCGGGTGGGTCCCAACAGAGGGTCCTGTGCAAAGTAGGGCTTGCGAAGGGGACACTTAAGGGTCAGGTGTAATGGCCTCCGGGGGACCGTGTGTAAGCCTTTAGTTGGCCGATGGGATCTCCGACGCATTCCACTTCTTCAGAAGACCCCACCTGTATGTGAAAGGGTCCCGGGGGGCCTAAGACTCCTATTCGGAGTTCTACGGTGCGTGTTGCGGCTGCCAGTAGCAGACGCCCGGCACAGCATTTGCAGCCTTGCTTTCTTCCTAGAACAGTACTTGCCTTAAAATCATATCTGCTCAATGCCGCTTGCATTTTTATGGGGCGTGGGATTGGAGTTCTCATAGCAGTGGCTTAGAATCAGGTTACTGGACATTGAGATAAAGTTCTTATTGGGGAGAAAACCTGCATTTGCGCTCCTCAAGCTAAACAGCTGCCTTTTTTCTCCCTTGGGGGTGTAGGCTTTGGCTCGTTCGTTGCTAATCCTAAAGTAAAGTGCCTGCACACACAGAGGGCGAACTAACTTAGAGGCGCAGCCCGTGAGCGGTTGCAGAGTCGAAACTGCCATAGGCGTCCCCATGTTGTAGCGAGCTAGCGTACACCTACAAGCGTTCTCGTACCCTAATTAGATTGACGTCAAGAATCGCTTCGAACTGGACTGATTGGTATGTTTTTTCGTGTATTTTACTTCTTGCATAATGCTGTAAGCTGGACACAACCAGACGCAAGATTGTGTGCGCAAGCGCAAGGTGCGATGTGCAACTAGCTGTGAATATTTAGAGTGCTTTGCTAGGACCTCTGAGGAGTGGGGGCACGTAAGCGGGGAGCTCATTGAGAATACACGATCACCCTCCCGTGTGTATTGACTTCAGGGTGCTGTATCTCTACGCTTACTACGATAGAACCTTCCATCGGGTAGGACTGCACGATTCGATGCAGCTTTTCCCCACTGCTCATCCAGTGACTGTAGAAGCAGTGAGACGTCATCTTAATCTACAACAGTTTATTGGTTTTCGATCACGTCACCTGGTATTTCAGCATGGTCAGCAGTCTGGGAGAAGAAAAATGTGCAAGTTGTCTTTTGCACGTCTGTCGAGGCCACAGTGGGCCGCCTGCAAGCTGACGTGAACGCAGTAGCCCCACAA